ATAATAATATGTGTGTGTGTGTGTGTGTGTGTGTGTGTGTGTGTGTGTGTGTGTGGTGTGTGTGCATAATAAAAACTTATTTTATATTTTTATATTTTATATTTTTTTATTTATATTATATTTTAAGTTTACATTATTTTTATTAAGTATATAATCAATAATAATCATTAATCGTTATATATTATATGGTTACATATTAATGATTGTTATTGAGACACAGTAATATATATACATATATATATATATATATATATATAATTATAAAAAATTATATTAACACATTGCTATAATAACATACGCGATTATTCATAAATTAGGTCTGAGAATGTGTTTAATTATTATCATATTTATTATTGTACTTAATATTCTATTTATCTTATTGCTATAAATGTTTTTAAATTAGTATAAAAAAACCTTGTGCCGCACATACAACACAAGTGCAATGTGAAGAGTTAGTAAAATATATGGAAATGTATTCAAACTTTGCTGCAGGAAAATTTTTAACTAAAGAGGGTAAAATTCATTATACACAACAATGGAAAGAATTAAACTACTTTTTAAATTCATTAAGTACTGAATCTGGAAAGTCGACAAAGCAATAGCAGACGGTATGTAATTTAAACAATAATTGAAAATATAACTGCTTTAATATAATCGGTATGTGCATAATACATCATCAAAAGTCAAACTTTTATTTTCTGATATTTTTCTATTGCTAGTAATTAATTGGTATTAAAATATATGTAATTAAATATATGTAATATCAGTATATTGTAATATCAATACATTTATTGAAAAATATTAACATGCTTTTCATCGTAATTTCTCTGTAATTAAATTTTATTACTAGTATCGAAATTACTTACCGATATTACTGGTTATCGAAATATATTACATTTTCAATTATTGATTGGAAGTATATAGAAGTATTAGCATAAGAATATTATATACATTATATACATTATATCCATTATTATACATTATTTTTGTTTAGATATGGAGAGATATGAAAAGCAACTCATCAAAGAAGATAGCAAAAATAAGAAATGAACAGAATCAAACAGGAAATTTTCCAATAAATTCAGAACCTTTGGACAATTTAGAACAACGTGTCATCGCTTGTATGGGTTTAGATTACGTACAAGATTCTGTAACTTGTTCAGATAGTCCACCAGAGGAAGAGATATATGCGTAGTATCTGTTCTTTTTCTATAATTTATAATGTGAATTATTTTGTAGAAAACACTAATTTTATTTCTGTTTTTTTTTTTTTTTTATTATTCAGGAGCATCAACTCGGAAAAGGACAATCTTGAAAAAAAGCGCGGCTCTCATTGACTGTCGTTAGTTAACAATACCGTTGTTGGTAAGCGTATACGGAATAGGGCCTCTGTCAATAGAAGCATAATCAATAGAAGCAAAAAAAATGTAAGAAAAAATCCTTCAGATTTATATCTATAGTCACCAAAATAAATTAACTTTAAACTTAATTTAATTTATATTTAATAATTTTTATCTTTTATCTTTTATCTTTTTATATTTTTGAAAGTTAGAGAGAAATAAACAAGGGTTGCAAAACTAAAATGGCAATAGGACACGTTGCGAGACAAGAAGAGGAGAGATGGACAAAGCACATAGCGCAGCGGAAACCAAGATCACATAAGCGAAGTGTTGGAAGACTACAGAGGAGATGGATAGATGACATCATAGAAAAGGTGGATAAGAGATGGATGCTGGAGGCACAGAATAAACTGGAATGGAAAAGGAAAGGGAAGACTGATATCCAGAAGTGGATGATTAAGGGCTGCTAAAGAAGAAACAAGGGTTTAAGATGATCTACTTTGGTAGAAATAGACACTAATCAAATCACTGTAGATAATTATACGCCAATTTTTTTACATCAAGTATTATTTATAAAAAGAAAAAAGTGAGATTTGTTAGAAAACAATGATGATTGATTACAAGAGAAAAAGTATACTAAGGAATGTTTAAATTCATGTCTATTTAATGTTCTTCTTTTTTTTTTATTTTGTCTAACAGTATAATAATGTAATATATTTAGGAAGGAATACTATTATGCTGATCGTATAATTACAAATACAGAATATTTGAATTTCTTCTTGATTATACACTCTCTCTTTTGAATGTGTATGTGTGTATATTAATAATGACATATATATATATATAATGAATATTATGTTGACTATATATTTTTTTACAAATATAGCTTAATTAAAAAAAATTTTCATACTATTTATTCAAATATACTAAATTATATACATGTACATGCAAGAGGCATTGATTCATCCCATTATTTTATATGTATTAATTGCATATAAAGAAAATGCATGTACCATATCCACATAATTTTACATTTCCGATATGCTTGGATATGTCCTAAATACATACGAAGTCATAAATCAAACTTCCAGGTATGAATCTGCATGTATATTGGCACACTATATTTCTTATAATAATGATAAAAATAATATTATAGTATTATATAATAATAGTATAGTATTATATAATATTATATATTTCATTATTATAATATTATTATAAGAAATTATTGGATTAAATGAAATAATCAATTGTTTTATGATAACAATGAATTATGACATGCATATCATTTTTGATTCTAATATTATTTATATAAAGATCTTTAATCAACTTTCATAGGTTTTTACAACAGTTTAAAAAATTTTGTGCTTATGAGCTTCGTAGTAAATTTATTAATTTGCATGAACTATGTCATCAGCCTAATAGAAGTACTAATAGCAAAATGGTACGTTTAAATATACACGATTCTGCTAAAAATTTACAAAAATTTCGAGTAATTTTTTCATCATTTACGTTATCTACGTATCAATAAAGATTCGTTAATCATTGTAATGTTCATAATAAGAAACGCATTAATGCATTTGCATAAGAACACAAATAATCTAATTTCCTTTTTATCATACAATGGTCAGGTACTCTGAAGAAAGTTGCATTGAATCGACAGGATACGTTGTTAAAACACGAACTTTCTGTCCATCCTGAGTCATAAATTCGATTGCTTGGTCACCATCTACGAATTCAGCTTCCTCAATATTTCCCAGCTGATTGATCGTTGCAACTGTTGTGGCATCGGTATTCTCATCCTATAAAAATTATAAAAATATATTATTATTATTATTATTGTTGTTGTTGTTGTTACATACATACATATTAATGAAGAAAAAATCTATTAGAAAATTATGATATTCCAAGCGAAGAGATAAGGAGAAAGAGATAAAATCAAGAACTATTTAAAATTAAAACAACAGATTTATAGAAGTTCAATTTTTCATTTAACAAATTAAATTTAAAAAAAATAAAAGATCAGAAAAATATATTTTGTAATCCATATTAAACTGGAAATTACCTCAAGTGCTTGAACAATTGCTTCTGCATCGGCTTGACTTGTTGATATTGCCTCGATATTCTTAGTTGTGATTGGACGTACTATGATTCCACTTCCCTCTACGTTATCTCCATCAACATGAATATTTAAAGCCTGGAGTTGTTGTGCAAATATTCCAGAAGGGACTCTGATAATTTGGCTGTCATTCTGCTGACTGACAACGTGTCCTTGCGAGAGAAGCTGTCGAGCTTCTTGAATAGACAATGGAATCGTATTTCCTTGTTCATCTGTGAGCTTGACATAACAATAATAGAATAATCAGAAGAAAAATTTAATTTAGTTTTAAGAAAGTTATGTCATTTAAAATTCACAGCTGCTTAACTTTTGCAAAGTTAATAAGATAAAAATACAAATAGAAATATAAGTTTATCAAGTAGAATTTAACAAGATAAAACGAACTATTATAGCATTAATGAATTTTGAAAAATATCTAATTATAAAATTAATATCCGTCTATTTACCTGCAATTGCAAATCTGATTCCGCTAATTCGATCTCCATCTCTTCGTTATTGCTACTTGGATTATTTATAATTTTATTGGCAATCGTTTCGTCGTTCTGCACTTTCAAATGTGATAAGGAATTGGCATTTGTCGTCACTTCGTCTTTGTCTTTGATCACGTTATCGTCAACTGAATATAAGTAATCAAATTAACAAGTGATTTAGATTAATATAATTGATAATTTTTAATAATTAAAAAAATAATTGCGTACCTAAACGCCATGTTTGCGACTGACTGTCATCAGAATCTTGATAAGATACATAAATAATCTGTTGGACTCCATCATTGGATACTTCATCGGTGGTGATTATTTGATTATTTAATGTTTGTTCATCATCTTGCGAATTCGGCAAAATTTGCCATACCTCGCCGATTGGAGATCCTTCCGATCTATTTACAGTTATTGTATTATTCTCTTTATGTACCTGCAAAGATTATTATTACCATAATTATCAATTTTTAACGAAAAATATTTTAAAAGTAAAATCAATACAACACCTTTTTGTGTTTTGTCAGATTTGAACAGTCGGCAAAAGCTTTACCACAGATGTTGCACGAATAAGGTTTCTCGCCTGTAAAAAATGAAATAATTAAAATTTTATAATTACAAAAAAATAAAAAAAATGCAGGAACATTCTTTTTATTATGAATACAGAAACACTTATTTCATTATGGTTTTTTATGCTTTACATTTAGAATACGATTGTTTTCAATTACCAGTATGCAGGCGAAAATGTTTCTTCAACGCCCACTGTTCTGTAAATCCACGATTGCATTGACTGCATTGGAACGGACGTTCTCCTTTATGACGGCGCACATGACATTTCCATGTGTCCTTATGTAAAAAGCTCTTCGAGCAAAATTCGCATTTCCACGGCCTCTCACCGGTATGCCGTTTTACATGCAACTTAATTTGTGATGACGTAGTAAATTTTCGACCGCAGTAATCACAAGTATAGGGTTTTTCACCAGTATGAATGCGCATATGTTCTTGCAAATTGCCATTTTGTGAGAAACTCTTTTGACATACGTTGCAGGTATATGGCTTTTGACCAGTATGCCATCTAAAACAGAGTACAATTTTTTAGAAATAAAATAAATTAAAATCAAAATTTTATTAAAAAATTATAGAATTAAATTTAAAAAGGCACATACATTTCTTCCTTAAATCATAGAATTTTTATGTATTAAATATACAAATAACATAATTTTTTACTACAGTATATTATATATTTACTGTGAATTAATAAATATTCATAATAACCTATAATGCAAAGTCAGACTAGTCTTGTGCGCAAATTGTTGGTTACAAATTTCACAGATATGCTTCTTTTGACCCGTGTGTGTGGCCTGATGATTAATCAAGTTTGCTTTCGTTTTAAAACTGGTGTTACAAGCCTTGCAAACATGCGGCCGATTATCTGAGTGCACTAACTGATGCTTCTGAAGTAGCTGTTTATGCTTAAAGCTCTTGTTGCATTTATTGCAAACAAAACGACGTCCGCTATTATGCTCAGCTTCTTTGTGATACAACATAGAACTCGGGTGATTTAAGATTTTCCCACAGATATCACATACATAATACTTGTTCAATTTAGTCTTCTGCAACATTGTATAAAGATTTAAAGTTTTCAAAAAATATTATAAAGTATCTTAAGAAACAAATCATAAAATTGTTAGGTCAAAATAGAAAAGTTTAAAAAGATATCTTACAGATATTTCTTAAATTGCTACATTATTATCCTGTTATAACTCATAAAATACGAACCTCATGTGTCGTCATATGCGTTTTCAAATCTGAGTAACTTGTGAAACTTTTATTACAAACATTACAGGTAAATTCATGTTGATCATGTACTGTCTTCATATGTGATTCGTAATCCTGTTCCAATGTAAACTGCTCGTTGCATTTTTCGCATTCGTTAATCGAATCGATAGAATTTTTTTCTACCTCGGGATTCAATGTGTCCTGTTCCGCGCTGTGTGTCTCAAGTGATTTTTGTGTTTTGGTAGGAATTGAATTATGTTGAGTTGTTTTCAGATGCAATGCTAGATTTTCTGCAGTATCAAATAGCTTTTTGCATTCTTTACATTCGTGCAAGACACCCTTATGAAAACTCCTAAAACATATTAAAATAAAAATAAAAAATTAAAAATTAATAAACTTAACTTGATTCATAAATTCCTGTTTAATTTTTAATCAAAGCTGAATTTCGATTATTTTATCTTTATGTTAAAAATTTAAAAATATCTAAAAAAAATCTTGATTTTTGAAAATAAAAATTTTGAAAAATTTATAAATATAAATACATGTACACACGATTCATATAACTTATATTCGTAAAACTTAAAATTATAAAAAGCTAAAAAACTAGTTTATAAAAAATTTATAAAAAGAATTCTTTTCAATTTCAAACATTCAAAATTTTCATAGGAAATGATATTACTTATGTATTATATATCTGCTGCGTTGTAAGAAACGTCTGCCGCAGTATGGACATGTGAATCTACTTCTTCGGCGGCGCAATTTTGATTTCGATCGTAATCGTCCACGATTCACAGTTACCACCTCACCTAAGTTTGTACCCTCTTCTGTTTCAAGATGACCTATCACTTCTGCAAAATATGCACAATTTCATATAAAGAATAATTTTTTTCTTTGATGTCTTAGTTAACATTTTACATCTTTGACTATCATGCATACCTTCCTGACTATATTGACTAGAAGCTTTTAAGCTAGGACTTTCTGAATCATCAAATGACTCATTGTCATCTTCCTCATCGATCACACCTACCTCCTTGAATATTTTTTCCAATTCTTTTCCTTGCACTGCTCCCAGGTATCTGCAAATTTATCAATCATGACAATCATTTAAATTATAATCCAAAAGCTTTCATCCTAATATACCTTTTAGGAGCTTTGCGCTTTCTTCTGCGTCTACCATCACCATCTACTTCTTCTTCTTCTTCTTCTTCTTGCTTATCCTCTTCACCTTCTGCAACTTCTGTAGAATTCTCCTGTGTCTTATGTAATACACAAAAAAAATTAAAATATTGGAGAGAAAAATTGTTACATATTTATTACATATTACATAACTTGCCTCTGTATGTACTTTAGGAGGTCGTCCGCGTTTTCTTTTTGGCTTAGTTAAGCCTTCCATTTGCAAGCTCATTTCATGTTCTGCTGTATATATAGATCCATCTGGCAGTACTAAAATAATAATTACATTATAATAATAAACATTTAAATATCAAATCTCTTAATACAAATAATAGAAGAAATTATTAAATTTGAAAAAATAATTATTAGATATTAAAATCCAATTATGATTAAAAAATCAGTATCTTATATGTGTATCTTCTTGTATTAAAATAATAATTTTATATATAATATTAAACTATATAAGTATAGTATTATAAGGTAAAAAATATGTATAAAAAAAAGAGAAAAGATCATATTTACTCTTAATAATCATTGACTGCTCATATTGCTGATCCTTGTCACAAGCCATACCATCTTCTTCTTCTATTCCTTCAATGTTCTCCTTTTTGTTGTTCAAGCGTTCTGCTTTGCGCAATTGTTCTACTTGATTTTTCCAAAGTTCACGTATTTTACGCTGGCCAGCCACCAATAATTCAAAGAACTGTACTGTGGCTTCCAGCTGGATGTTACAACCAGGACAAATCGTCCGTGGTAATTTTCCATCATCTTGTACCTTAAATTCAAAGATGTTTAATTTTAGTAAATATATATCATATAAAAAAACATAAATTACAAAAATACAATAATTTAATTCTATATTACAAATCTCCTTTAACATTTATTTAAAATTGTTGAGATAAAATGCCAATTAAAATGTCAATACAGAAATTGTTCAATCACTTGAATACATTCAAGTGGTAGAATAGAAGCCACATGCAATATTATGTGTGATGATAGATAAAATAATTAATTCATTTTTATTTGACAAAAAGGCAGAAGAAGAAGAGAAAGAAGAGATGAGAGAAAAAAAAGCTAATAAATATTTAAACGACGTATGAAACGAGTATTTGATCAGTGCAGTATCTGTACGAGGATATCGACAAGAAATCAGAGTAGGAAATCAAGTTGTAGTCCGTTTCGAATCGACAGTTTGAATATGCGGAACGCCTCACCTTTAGCGGTAAGTATCGATTTACTAACGAGCGTAGATCCGTAGATTCGCCTTCTTCACTAACGAACAGGTGCTCGTTACCGTTGTCTGCCGCACATAATCGGCAGATCGTCGAGTCGTACAGACGCACCATGTTATTGGCGACGTCGAACGAGATTCACCAATGTTTCAAGTTATGCGGAGAGAACAAAAATGTGTGGAGTACGAAATATCACGGATTTATGCGAGGTCAACGGTGCTCGCGAGGTTGCGAGGTGTTACCATTATTTTTTGCGCGGCGTCGCATAAACGCACCGCTCGCTCCGACATTCGGGAAGAATCGGAGAGGTTAGATGATCTCCCACCCCCCATTGCTTCTTTAAACATAAGGTCGGTTCTGTTTAGCTGAACTTCTTGCACCTTCAGCCTTCTTCTTTCTTTCTCCTGTAGCGAGAAAAAGAAGAAAGAGGTTAGCTAAAAAGAACAAAGTTCATGTATTCTGAATCCTCTTTTATCTCTAAATATGATGTATTCGATATATCCGATCAAAAGACTTGTAAGATACTTTTGGATAAACACTTTTTTAGATAAAAGATTCAGAATATTGGACCTACAAATCTCTATTGGTTTATTTGCGCTACTTGCACTTCCTCGCATTCTCAGTGTTCCTTCTTACAACAAAATAACACACCTTGCTTTATATGCAAAAGAATTGCAAATAACTGAACAAACCTCTTATGGCTATCTACGAAATTCCCTAGCATTTTCAGATTTGCAGGAAGGGTGGACAAAAATAGGGGTATAACTAGGATACCGAAGTGAAGTGACCTTCGGTTTTAATCATGGTACAGTTGGATAACTTGTCATACAATGATTCGTCATCCGTTGCGTGCTTTATAAGGAAACTATACGTCGTCTTCGTAACACATCAAAGATAATGCGAAGAACTGTCAAAATCTCTGGGTGCTCATTCTGAAGTATTTCATGGAACGTTCATCACATATTTTTTTCTGTCATGAAATGAGTGTGTTGGTAACGAGTTAAAGGGATGTCCTGCAACACGTGCCAAGTGAAATTTTCATTCTTCACAAAAGACGTAAATATTAATTTTGTTTCGCTCATTTGATCATAGGTTAATCTGCCAAAAAATATAATTAATTATCGCTATTAATGTTAATTTTTCCAATGTAAATTAATTTTCTCGGTAAATTAATAATCTCGGTTTAACTTACTTTTAACTCTGAAAATTAGAGAAAAGTTAAAGAATAAATAAGAATAAGATTAATCTGTATATTAATAGAATAAATATGAAAAAACATTCGTCAGGTTATTTATTTTAATTTTGTTATCGCTCAGATTGGTTGCCCAAGCTGTGGCTTTTCCTACTGTAGTAAATGTCTCAAGTACAAATGCGACATTCCTGATGTAGGAAGAAGAAAGGTGTGCGGTCGCTGTTACAACAAGTTGAACAGAGTCGAGAACTCAAACATGGATGATCAGGCTATAATGGATGATGCTCCAATGTCTAATACAAACAAGGAACCACTTGCACCAATTGACATTGCTATGAAGTAAGAAATTAAGTCTTTGCTTGAATTATTTGTGAGCAATTTGATCATTATATGAAATATATGAAATATATTTAAAAAATAATGTTTTGATATTGATTGCTTTATCAGGCTGGCTTCATTGGAAAATCCAGTGAAGCCTCCAATAGTGATATATAAACGTATGAATCACTGGGACAAACTTAAGATGGGATTGGAACCAGCTGATCAACAGATTGTAGACAGGCTACGGAAATTAAAAGATGAAGAACGGAACGTTCCATTGCTTACCGTTGACGAGATAAGACAAAGATTGGCATTACTAAAGGATCAAGATCCAGAAGCCAATGCAAGCAACGCAATTAATGTATGTGACAAAATGTGCATAAATATATATACATGGCTGTGTTATAGATTTTTTGGATTTATTACAGATACATCAAGTGGATACTAGAACAGATCAAGAAAAGGCAGATGATTTAATTCAAGAATATCTTGCGCAAATAGATCTACCTTCTATTAGTGATCTTTATGATAGTAAAACTGTGAGTAAATAAAATTAAGATAAAATTGAAATATAAAATTACAAATGTCAATCTTATTCCTCGCAGAATTTTGATCAAAGCATGAAAGAAAGAATCAATATTTATAAGGAGACATATGACACGACAGATGATGATAACACAGAATTAATTAGCAAGGTTTCGGCGATGAAAATAGAAGTACGTAAGTGACTGATAAACATGTATTTTCAACTCCTTTTATTTTTACTTTGCTCTACAATTAAATTTATTCTCCCCTGAAAGTACTTATATGTCTTTAATAATAAATTTTGTAACTTTGTTTTTAAGAAATAATTATTTTATGTAATTTATGACAAAATTAGACTCCTCCGAACATAGAAGTTGAGGATGAAGATGAGGACGAAGATGATGATAATGAATGCGTCATGTGCTCGCAAACTGCAAGTAAATCAGACCTGTATAGATGTGCAGGATGCACGGGCGATCTCTACTGTTCCTCATGCTTCATGAGTTCTCATGATGAAAGTGAAATGACGGATAAACATAAAGCGGTTCGTTTTATCAAGGAAGATAAGAAAGATAAATTGTCTTCTGCAAAGATGAGTCTTATACAAAAACTGTTAACATCAGATGGCCAGAAGAATAATCACTGATGATTTATTATACCACATCATACGACACCCTTTAAAAGCAGTCTTTACGCTGATTTACATCATTGATTCAGCGATGCCACGCACACGAAATAATTGGAAATACTTCTAACAAATGTATAAAATATTTCCAAGATTTTTCTTCATTTGCTTAATGCATTTGATGATTCTTTCTCTGGAAATTGAAAGTGCGCTTTACCGTTCGCTTTTGGCTGTGTCATTCCATAATGATAATTCTTATTATTGATTCATTATAGTTTTACTTATAATTTCCTGTCTTTAATATAGTAGATATAAAGATGCACGCTCATGTACGAGTGTAGTCAGACATAGATAATATCGCGTTTACGCTTATAGGAACACCATTCTTCAGAATTTTTCAGAATAAAGTTATTTTGGATAGTTACTTCTTGAAACTCTTCTAATTTTTATATTTTAAGTTTAGTCTATGTTTCATTGAATTTTCATTTCTGATAAAGTAAGATGAAATATATATTATAATGTATATACATTTATAACAATGACTAACTAGTCGTCCGTTTTAAATTTACTACGAGTGATTATTGCTATTTTTTTATAATAGAAAAATTTTATTTCGCCCATTTTTATAGTATTACAAATTTTAATTTCATCGACATTTTCTAACACAAAATTTATTCTGTTTGAAAACCGCCAAAGTCGACAAACTTTGTTGAAGTTCCGCTTAATTAATTTTAACTCGACGATATATCTTGTCCGATTATATCCGAGATCCATATGAATTTTGCGATCAAATCCACGAATTACACGTAATCTAACGTAGCGTCCAATAGGAGAGCTTGTATTCTAGAAACTCCAGTTGTGGCAATGATAGTTTCTATTTTACATAGAGAAATGTATCTCGAACGATAGTAATATCGAATAAATATCTAGACGATTATCCCCACATGAGATCCATCGAGTCGAGGATCCGGCGACTCCGTTCGCACAACTGCGCTATGAAACACGTATGCGGTCATCATATCGCGATACACTACAGGGTAAACCAATAAGTCGTAGCGATTGGTGGCTAGGTCGATCCCCGACACGCTCGCCTTTACTCATCTCGTCCGATTCATGCACGACTGACGAGACTCACGATTGGAAAAATATCGAGACGGACACGTTCGCGCTTGTGACTGAGCGACCTGGCGGTCGCCCCTCTGGTGTAGTCTCGTGACTCACTCCGTACATATATACATACGTGCATACGCGTGATACGTCGCACTGCCTGCGTAAAGCCACACGATACGAAAAATCGCAAACTAAAGAGTCATCGTCGACGGGCCGAGGGGGACG